ATACTCAGCTCGAATACTCCAGCCATCTTTCTATATGGTTGTCGGTAACTGAGCAATCAACATTATAGAAAATCTGGAACAAAATAGTGGTCCACTGTGACACTTTGTCGAGGAGCTGACGTAGTGTGAGCGAGAGCGAACGTGCCTGCGTGGTGTGAGCGAAGGTGAAGGAGGATCAAACGGAGTATGGCGGCGTCTTTTTGATGATGGAGGGAGAGTGGACGTCATTCTGGCTGCCTCGTCGTCAGCAGCCAACATTTCCAGAGCTTGGATCATCCTCTTCCTCCCGCCGCAGGATGTGGTGTGGCGCCACCACAGGCAGCGGGTGGACACGCCCGAGGCCTTGTAGACAACTCTCCACGTGGGAACCTGCGCCCCTCCTGGCGGGGACCCTCCAGCCGTGGGTGAGAGGGTGGCTCTCTAGGTAGTCCCCTGGAGGTGCCCCGGGGCGCCGTGCTGCAGACGATGGGATCACCGAGGGAGGTGGCCACTCCTCACGCACAACTCGAGAGATTATCACTATCAGAAGGTGTTGTTTGATTGTATGCTTGTTTTAGGACCTTGAACATTTTCTACACTCGGCTGTGCAAAGCTTAATGTACACCACCAACACTGGTGCGTATTATGCATTATAATGTACAAAGATAGATTTCTTTTTATTACAGGTACACAATGACTGCAATCATGTCAAGCCATGGAAGCAATATGAACTTATGGTATACAGCAGCGCCTGCCTCACTGGGTCACCTGTGGGGGCAGAGCCTGGAGGGACGCTGCCCTCCGGCTCCCGCGCCCCTGGAGCGCCTGCTCTTGCAGCATGCATGGCGGGGCCACGCGGGCGCAAGCGAGGACGACTCCTCTTCTCCGTAGGTATTGAGTGTCACAGACCGCTGGTCCCTAAAATTGCACTTAAAGTAACTGTTGAGGAACTGTCGGGAGGGCGACCATCGGAGCGCCTGGGACGTGTCGGCCACGGTGGCGGTGTTCTGGCGGGGAGCGGCCAGAGGGCCCCCAGGCGTGCGTGGACCCCCAGGCCTTGCCGAGACCTCCACGCTCAGCACCCTTGATTAACAACAACAACTCAAGGAACTAACACAGAGAAGTGATTATTAAATTAATACATAGTTCCTGCCAGGAACTATCTCGTTTTATCACAGCTAAAAATACGACAACACAACAGAACAAAGGTGGAACCAAGGCGATGTGACAGACAGACGTACAGTCATGACACGTTCACCAGAGGACTAGTACAGGCGAGTGGCGGGGGGCGGTGCTCCCAGGCGGGGGGCAGAAGGGCTTGCTCCCAGGCGGGGGGCGGGAGTTGTGTTCAGGCGCTCTGCTGCTGCGGTTGGTGCTGAGGCGGGGCCAGGGGGAACCCCAGGGGGCCGGGGAGGGAGGTGGGCAGTGCTCGCGGGTCGCCGTGGAGGCGAAGAGCGTGTTCCATTCGCATTTCCTGAAGGCGGAGGGCGTCGGTCACCTCGCCCTGGTGCTGCGGCGACGGGCGGCCCTCGTGGTTCGCTAGCCGCAACGCCGCCTCCGCCTGCGCGGTCCGCAGGGCCGCCTCCATGCCTCCGCCGCCCATGCGAAGGTCACGCATGTCACGCATGTCCGGCTGGGGAGACCCCATGGACTCGGGGGCCTGGTGGCCGCTGGGCTGCGGCTGCGGCGGCTGCTGCTGCTGCTGTTGTTGCTGCTGCTGTTGCTGCTGCTGCTGTTGTTGCTGCTGTTGTTGTTGCTGCTGCTGTTGCTGCTGCTGCTGCTGTTGTTGCTGCTGCGGCGTCTGCTGCAATGGCTGCAGTCCGTGCTGGTGGTTGGAGAGAGAACGGATGACTTCAGCCTGCGAGGCCATGGCGTTGCGGATGCTCTCGGCTTGCGATGTTAGCGTGGACTTGACGAGCTCTGCCTGGCTCTGGCTGATCATGGCGCGCATGTTGTCGGTGGGGTGCGGGCGCATGTGGTTCATGACGTCATGGTGGCTGGATATGGAGCGCAGGGCGTCCGACGGGGAAGGCATGCGGCCGATCCCGGACTCCAACTTCTCCGCAGGCGTCGACATCCGGGAGGAGGCGTCGCTCTGGGTGGACGGGGAGGCTGCCATGGACATCGGCGCTTGGTGCTGAACCTGGTGCTGCATCTGGTGCGGCATTCCCATGCCCATTCCCATGCCCATGCCCATCCCCATGCCCATGCCCATGCCCATGTGATTGCCTCCGCCCTGCAGGCCGACTTGGGCCAGGCCAAGAATGCTCTCTCGTTCGCGTCGCTCGGCGGCGGCTCGGGAGAGGACGTACTGGGCGGCGAACTGGTGCTTCGGGTCCATCCTCATGTGCTCCATGTGGTTCAGGAGACCTGCGGGCAAAAGGGGCGTCACTCTCGCTGCTGGGACGAACGCCGCTTGGGGGCGGCGCTCACATGCATGGGAAATCCACGGGGTTTAAAACAAGGTTTCTTCCGTGACTTATCGTCTTACGTGTGGATCATACAACGCTAAAAAAAGGAAGCTCTGATAGCTAATCATCCGTCACATGATGACAAACTAAAAACGAAATCCCAACATAAATCTCGGCAAGTCCACGTCGGGCCTCGCCGAAAGCACGAGCACCGCGAGGCCTTACTCACCTGACTCGTGGGTGAAGACAGCGTGGCACACGGAGCAGGGCCACATCCTGAGTGAGGAGGTGAACTGCGAGGTCTCGGGGTGACATGCCAGGTGCTTCCGGAGGCTGCCCTCATTCACGTAGTGTTTCCCGCACACGGGGCACGAGTGGGAGGCCGTGCGACGCTTCGCTGCAAGACAAGAGTCGCCGTCAGCACCGAGAGTCAGCCGAGTGTGTCACAAGTTACGACAACTGACAGGCGTGTGACACAAAGTGCACCTTAAGCTAAGCCTACTACAAAGTTTGAGTATTCATTGCATATTGATAACAGCTTAGAATTTGGAGAATCAAATGCTTTTATATATGATTAGATCAGGTGCTTTAAGTGAATGACATAAATGCTTAATGCTACGTATGTTCACTTATGATTCATTATAGGCATGCACTCTATGACTAGTGATCCCCTTGCGGAGTGGGAGCGCACCGCCTGCACGCCCATCCAACTTCCCCGGCTTTACCTCCGACGCCTGAGGCGTTGGGGTCCTTGTGTACCAGCTTCATGTGGTCCATGAGCTGTTCGCCGTTCATGAAGAACTTGTGACACTGGGGGCAGTGGACGGCGTTAGGCCCGCCGATGTGGACGGCGTGCTGTATGGAGACAATGACAAAAGATAGAATAAAGAAGCGTCTAACCTGCCACTCCCGAGGCGTTCGGGTCTCTGTGCGTATACTTCATGTGCTCCATCAGCTGCTCGCCATTCATGAACAGTTTCTGGCACTGAGGGCAATTGACAGCGTTGGGGCCGCCGACCAGGGCCGCGTGCTGTGGGAGAGAGACCACCCAAGTGAGGCTTTGGCCTGCCCCGGCACTCTTGCCTACTCAACACTGATACTCACACTGTGCGCTACCATGCTTGCACCAAGCACACGGCTCACTCACACTCTCGCTGTCTCATCTTACACCCAGTGACAAAATATTAGACATATTCACAAGTTAAACACAAATGCCAAACAGTGCTTCATACCACGCAGCTCACGTTACCCAGACGTTACACCAAAATTACAAACAAAAGCATTCACAAGCAAAAGCAGCAGTGCCTATGAAAATATCTCTCTCCCAAGCATCCACATGATAGCCTAAAGATCACACCTGACACCTGCCTGCCTCCACTACCTACGACGAAAACACACTAAGTTATGCTAAGTTAAAGTTCTTATTTTGGCGGCGCTGAGTTACCGGAGCGATGTTAATGCTATAATTCTCTCGTGATTACAAACTGATTTTGATCTTAAATCTACTATAGCTGTCAATCTTGTGTCTATGAATTTTGGTCCCTATTCTTATGGTTTCACATTTCTATATATGGGACCCAACTTATCTCTCAGTATACCTTTTGATTTATTTCTATAACGGCTGATCGTCAGCATATCATCACAGTTGTGTATGCAAATTCCATTTATGAAAGACAAATATTTAACAACGTTACTGGCACATAGTCGCTGTGTCTAATTTTTAAGATATACTTGTACGTGGAAGATTCACATTTTTTTTTGAAATGTGGAAAACAGAAAGCCTTACAAGGTACTGCACTTAAAATTACCAAAAGTATGAGAGTAAAGTATGATTCCATGACATGCAAATATATACTTAGCATAAAGAATATAAGACAGAAGTCGTTAATGTTTATAAAATATGATCGCTATTCCAGGCTTCTGCTTTAATTAAGAGAAACCATAGCAATTAATGATCTTGACAGAGTAGAAAATGGTAAGTGAAGACAAGACCTTGAATATAAAATCCATATTCCTCTCTCGTGGCAACTGACTCCGCCCATAGAATTAGTATCATGCAGGGACTGAAAAATTTAGTGAGGAGTGTGGACAGCCAAAACTGTCCTGTCCACCTATGATAATTTGGGGCAAGCGATCAGGAGCTGGAGAATCTGAATCCATAATGACGCAACACAACCAGTCGATGATGAACCACAGCAAATCAGAGAGAAACCCTGCATTCAGCCTTTTAGAAAGAGAATCCATGGTTACCTTCTGGCGCTCATAGTCCATCACCGGCCTGTGCTGTGTGACCGCGCTGTATGGGTAAACCATCCAAGGTCAGAGAACCTACACCCTGCCCCCCTCCCAAGGACATCCCCAAACCCAGAGAACGACTGCCTTATCACCTCCCCGAGACAACCTCGCGCATGCCCTGGGCCTCTACCTTAGATGTGTGGGTCCGAAGCGAACTCTCAGTGGCAAAGCCCTTCCCGCAGATGTTGCAGTGGAACGGCCGGTTCTTCATGCGCTCCAGCTGCGCGTCATGGTTCCGGAGGTGCTGCTGCAGGTTCGACAGCTGGATGAAGGCGCGGCCGCAGTCCGGAAGGTGGCATTTGTAGGGGCGCTCACCTGCGGGGGAAGAGGAAACACGGGTTAAGATAAGCTTTGAGGCAGGAATGTATTCTAATCGTAAGTGAAAGGCCTTTAACCGTCTTTAGAGGATTCAAGTAAAAACTGCAGTAGATTCATATCACTTGCCTTATATCAGGCTTTCTCAAACATAAACATATATATCAAACACTCGCATGCGCGCATACACTCAACCGTACATCAACACACACACACGCACAACACAAAAAACAAAACGGATTTTTTTACGCCGTAACTCGTGTCCAATGTGTATTTAGGAAAGAAAAGAAGAGAAAATCAATAATTAGAAAATGTCCGATTTAGGTCCTACTGAAAAGACACAAAGTATTGATTGCTGTCACAGGATGGCGAGTGGAACAGCGACCAGATGAGGATTTCCGCAAACACTAAGTAAGGCAACTCATAATGGTGAATAAATATTTGACGCAGAGTAGGGGTCAGTCGAGGACGGATTGGCCGAGATCCAGGAGGGAGGTAAGCGTGGGTTGGAAAGCGAGGACAGGGTGGAGCGCTGCGAGGGGGAAGACTAGCGAGAGGGCAGAGAGGAGAGGGGAGGCAGGGCAGGAGATATAAGGCGGGGGGAAAAAGGAAAGAGATCAGGTGTGTAGGAGATGCGAAGGGAGAGAGAGAGAGGAGAGTTCGGGTGGGAAAAGAGTCTACTTTGAAAAAAGCAAGGTTACATATAATAGGGATAGGGAGTGAGACTAGGACTTTCTTGATTTGTGTGTTAGCATAAAGAAAAATATTTTGCTTATTTCACGTGAACTTCATGGCTCTCCACTATAAAAACATTTTTAGGACTAAACACTGACTACGATTTACAGTTTGACGTTTCTTGGATCCCCAAGAACTAATTTGTCTTTACGTAAGCCTTCGGAGTGTAGGCAGCCATAGGTAACCCCCTAATAAAGACTAACTGACAAACACTGCCTGTTAAAAAATGCAGTAGTGTGCATTCTCGCAAACGAAAAAAAGTCTCGCTTAATCATCAGCGTGCTTAAGGATGCAACTTTCCCGCACAGCACGATGAGCGAGGAGGCCTCCTATTGGCTACAAGTACAGAGGGGAGAGCCAATCAAAGAAGCGAAAGGGGGAGAAGGCGGGAAAACTTTCAGACTTGTCCTGCCATCTATCGGTATGCACGAGAAGTAGAAGGGCGCGCATTTTGCCTTGGGATTTTTTTCCCTTTTTCAGGTTGCGCACAACTATTTATACATTTTTTTGTAAAGGAAATCGATTGGGTTTCTTGCGTAATGGAGAAGAGCGCGTTTTCTAAGCGTCGGGCCGAGGTATGACTGGAGCAAGAAATGAGCAATACTAATCTTGGAGATCTAAGGAGAATATGAACAAAAAAGACCCAAAAATGCGTAGAAGAAATGAGCGTTATGTAAATTTTGACCAACAAAAGAACAGAAGAGAAAAGAAAGGAGAAAAAAGGAGCTAAAAAAAAAATACGAGAGATAAAAGACACGGGATATACATCCTTCACGTACTCACGAGAGACAAGGATGACGTTAACATGAATGGCTTGCCTCTGCTTATGCCATCCTGTGTCTGTTACTCTTTGCAAATTATGGCCAATTAAAACAATTCCACCATGCGACACCTGCCATTTCGCATTCCTACGTACTGTTTATTTGGGTTACGTGTGTCGGTGTGTGTGCGTATGCGGATATTTGCATACGCCGGAGTTGGTTCATGTGCGGTTATTCGTGGATTTGTATGTACGAAAGCGAGTTTGAGTGTTTGAGTGTTTATGTTTATTCTTTGGCATAGATGGGTTGTTCAATGATAACATATGTGTATCTGTTTATATTTTTTTTGGTTGTTATGTGTACATAAGCGCGTACGGTGGGCTTATAAGTCTCGCTATACAAGAATTAGTAATCCCTAAAACACACACATACATACACTCACACACACACACACACACGCACCCGAGCTCAACCCTCCCTGTAACCACAGTGCCAAATAGTGCCTGGGTCATTTTTTATACTGGTCATCGCCGAGGGTTCTGCCACCAGGTCAGAGGTCACACGGTTAGTCTAGGGTCAGCTGCCAGGGCGGGGGGTCAAGCTGGGGGGTGGGGTATGAGGGCAAGGGTGAAGGGGTGATTTGTATACAAGTTATGGGCGTGTGGGTGAGTGAATAGGGTCTTTAATGAGTACAAATACGAGACTGATGAATGAGAGTGTGAATGGGCTTTAGAATACATCGTGAGTTACGCACGAATGAATGCGTGATGAATATTTAGGATGAATCACGAGAATAAATAATAAATAAAAGATGACAGACACATGCGACTTGAATAACCAAAACCATAAACGAAGACATTTCTACGAAGGAAAGGAAACAGCGTGAAAATGAGTAGCCGATGCCTCACTCTTCGCATGAGTGTGATGAGTGAGTGTGAAGAGTCGCATGATGAGGCCGAGCGGGACTCAAGCCTCCACAAAGCCTCGTCTGGAAGCCTCCGAAGCCTCCCCAAGGCAGCGACTGCGATGAACATTAAGACTGACGCACGATTTATCATTTCACGCAACACGTCAAACCCAAAAACCCGTTATCGATTTTATTACTACTGAAATGACGAATCGAGATTAGAAAAAAATGTGAAGTTGCACATAAATGACATAATCATTCAGGATGAAATAAAGGGTCACGGCCCATAAAAAGCAACGAAGGGGGAGCAGCATATCTGCAACATTGCAATATGCAAATTAGGAAGGGGGAGAGGCACAGCGGGCTAAACCAGGCACATTAAGAGACTTGAGATAATGGCTGCCACTGAGATGATGGTGTGAGAGGAGAGGGAGAGGGTGAGGGAGAGGGAGAGGGAGAGGGTGAGGGAGAGGGTGAGGAAGAGGATAAGGGAAAAGATGTGTGAGAGAGGGAGTGAAAGGATTAGGGAAAGGGAAAGGGAGAGAGAAAGAATGGGGGAGAGGGTGAGGGAGAGGGTGTGGGAGAGGGAGAGGGCCAAAGAGAAGGAAAGAGAGAGGGGGAAAATAAAAATACCTAAAAAAAATCACACAACAAACAAGGGTACAGAACAAGATCGACATAGCTTGTGATTTACAGCGAATACGTGTGAGCCGATGTGGATATAAAAAAAATGGATGAATGAATGAGTGAATGAGTAAGCTCGTGTGTGTCCGTTTGTACGTGAGTTTCACAGGAGATGGAGGGAGGGACTGCCTGCGTTCCCCTCGGCAAGCTATGTGAAGAATGGTCAACCCTAGATACAGCTGTTAGTTTCTCCCTGTCGTTAGATTTATAACAGTCCCCCTACAGCTTTATTTACGGCGAACTCCCTTATGTAGTATTTACATCCACTGTCCCGTTATATTTATATTTACTAGGCTTTTCTTTGTGCAACACCTCCGACAGCAAACAAAACCTTCTTTGCTCGAAGGAGATGGAGGGTCTGGGGCCTACGTCAGTTGCAATTCGGACAGCATTATGTTGCAAGAACTTCGCACACACGCACACATCCTGGTGTCACGCACGCGCGCACACACACACACGCACACACACACATACACACACACACACGCAAACACACACACAAATCGTGGCTTTTCTAAAACAAAACTCCTGCTGAGCAATACCAAGCTACATCCATCCATTATACTCAGAGCAAATATCTAAATGTCTTTATTCTTAGCTTGAGCTTTTGAGACCACCTGGACTACAAGCTAAACTGGCAGCGGAATTTTCTTCTTTTTCATCTTATAAAGCATGGGGAAAGAATATGATAAATATTAAGGAAGGAGCAATTGAAATCTTAGAAGTATGCAGTGGGTAACGAGCGCAAATACGAATGAGTTTGTCACACCGCTGCCAGACGGAAGTCGCTGTCGAGTGGCGGATTTTTCTTCGTGTTTTCTCCTCCGCCTCTCTCTCCCTCTTTCTCCCACGATTAATTCGCTGTCTTTTCTCTCCCTCTCTCTCTCTCTCTCTCTCTCTCTCTCTCTCTCTCTCTCTCTCTCTCTCTCTCTCTCTCTCTCTCTCTCTCTCTCCCTCTTTCATCTCCCCCCCATTCCTTCCAGCCAGTCTTTCCTCTTTCCTTCCCCCCCCCATCTTCCCCCACTCCCCACTTCCCCCATCTTCCCCCACCCCTCCACTTCCCCTTCCCCCCCACCTTCCCCCTCCCTCAAGCGGCCACCAAGAATACTCTCGGGATGAACCATTATCGTACTCAGGCGGAGGCCAGTGTTTGCAAGATGGGCCTTCCTTTATGTTGCAAATGTATGGCATTGTTGCAGGCGGTGGGTAGGCTTAGGGTGTGTCAGGGGCTATAACTCAAGCGCCCGGCCCCCTCTCCCCCCCCCTCCTCCTCCCCTCCCCTATCTCCCCTTACCCCCCCCCTCCCACCGGCCCCACCCTAAGCGTAACGGACCGCTGAACTTACGCTACTGTTTGAAAAAAAAGGAAAAAAAAAAGAAAAGAGAGAGAGAGAGAAAAAAAAAGGTGCAACAAATCACGATTCATTGCAGCGTTTGGGTGGATGCTTTCTGAATCCGCGTGGATATATAGGACGTTTAGATCGGATGTGGAATGACAAAAAAAAAAGGAAGATCGGATTTGGAGAGGTGTGGGTTTTCCGCTTTATTTTATTTTGTTTCGCCTTTTATTTATCCGGTTATTTGTTTATTTCAGCGCATATTCATTCGCGGTCACGCACGCACACACACACACACACACACACACAACACACACACACACACACACACACACACACACACACACACACACACACACACACACACAACACATATATATATATATATATATATATATATATATATATATATACAGCGAGAGAGAGAGAGAGAGAGAGAGATAGAGAGATAGATGGATAGAGAGAAGAGAAAGAGAGAGAAATACAGATAGATAAATAGACAAATACATACACAAACAGACACATAAACATAGATATACATATATAGCTATCAATATAAAAATAGATACACAGATAG